TCAGAGAAATGATGACTTTCAGGGAGAATTAATTCATATTCACTGGCAGAGAACGGAAGTGACTTTAATGCTTTGAAACTTCTTTTGACTCAATTCTTAGATCTACATACAAAACATTATAGCTTAAGTTCATGGTTCTATCAGACACACATTTCAGAGCCAGATGATTAAAATCTTGGTCCTAATGACAAAGAAATGCAGAATTTGTAGTAAGCTCTTCTTATATGCTTGAGAAATAAGATGTGTCAGAAGTTGCCACTATGTGAACCCTCCTAAACACATCTCATATTGTGTGTGTGTGCAGCACGTGTGTGTATTTATGTGTTTGTTTGGCGAGGCTTCCTTCAGGCACGTTATTTATTTCTAAGGTCAAAAGTACAGTAAATTGTGATAAACAGTACATGGTCAGAACTGTATTTTTCTTTACCTTTCCTGTGTTTCTCCTAATTAAACTGAAAGCCCAGAGCAAGACAAAGTCAAGATTACTGAGCTTTGAACATTTTTTATTTGTACAGTTTTAAAAACATAGAACAGTTGCAAGAATGAAAATAGTACACCTGTATATACTTTACCTGGATTTGTCTCTTACACTTTTACTCACTTACTTTCACTTATGTTCTCTCTCCGCACACATACACATTATTTTTTTCTCAATCTTTTGAAAATAAATTACACATGTCATAACCCTTTACTCCTAAATATTTCAGGGTATATTTATTTTCCAATAACAGGGATCTTCTCTTATGTAACTACAGTGCAGCTATCAAACTCTGTAAGTTAACAGTGGTGCCATACTTTGAATTAATCCACCCATTCATTTTTTTTGTTTTGTCAAATGACCCAGTGATGTCTTTTTTTTTTTTTTTTTTAGATTTACTTACTTATGCTGGGGTACAGGCCAGGGGTGCAGAGGTGGTGAGCGGCTTCACCAGAGTCAGAGTGGGGAGCAGAACAGGCCGACTGACGAAGTACACTGCTGAGGGGAGCAGCGGGCAGGAGGGAACAGGAGAGGTCTGCTGTGCCATGTGGGTCACCTCACACTGAAGCAGCTATGGCCAGCTTGCAGTGCTGCATCCTAACCTGTTGCACCAGCAGGAAGGTCCCTCCTAGCCATGTCTTATAGAGATTTTCCTTCTCTCTGGTGTTGGGTCCAGTAGGGTGGCCAGGCATTGGAATTAGTTGTCAGGTATCCTCAGACTTCTTTAATCCAGAACATTCCTAATATAATGTATATCATTTTAAGACAAGAGTTGTCTTAAAATGTCTCTAATTAGATTCAGGTTCTGCACTCTCAGGCAGAATACTAAAATGTGCTGCTGTGCCCTTCAGGATGTCACATCTGGAGACACAGTGTCCATCTACCCCTCACTCACCGCCTGGGCAAGGTGCTGTCCAGTTTCTCCTGTATCATGACTGGTTTTCTCCTTGCACCTGGGATGGCACTTGAAGACCACACAGGAATCCTGCACCTTGTTGAAATTTAGTAATTACTGATGGTTTTTCTTGATGTTATCATTTAACTGTGATAGTTGTAAATGATGATATTTTAAACCCCCACATGCTCTATACATTTAACAGCTAACACTCAAGATTCTGCCTTTTTAATTATTACTGATATCCACTCATGAATACAGATTCCCCCTCCCCAGTAGTGTATAACTCATTACTACCCTTAATTATTTTGGTAGTCAAACTGTCCCTGATTTGGCCATTAATAAGTCATCTTTATGTAATTTTTTTTGGCACTCCTTTACATTTGGGCATAATAAACTGTTCCAGGTTCATCTTATACTTCCCTTCTTCCCACCCAAGATTCCTGGGGTCTGCTTCTTATTTTGATTTCTATTTGCCATTCAGTCTCCCCATTGTGGAAAACCACACTTCCTGACTTTCTCACCCACCAGCCTCCCTCTCACCCATCCCTTGAATATTCCTTCTTTGCCATATGCCAAACATTGGCCTAATTGTTGTAAGCAATGCTAAAGAATGCACAGGCTAATTTGAGATAAGGCCTCCTTACCAAATGAAATTTTAAAGAAAAGAACAAAGCTGAAAATCAAAGAAAACATTCTGGGTAAGAAATGCTGTGGAAGCTGAGAGGAGAGTCAAGAACTTACTTCAATAACATAAATACCTAGCAGGTGTCAGGCAGGCAGCGGGGTCTGGTGACAGGGATAAATGGGTGACACTGTCTCTGTCCTCAAGGAACTCAAGAGTTTGCAGCTTATGCAAGTCAGGAAACACCCTGCACTAACAGCAGCACTAACAGGAGAGGGTTGTTTGCAGGCCTGTAGATTCCTGGGCCCCATCCAAGAGATCCTGATTCTGTGCATTTGTAGGACAGCCCAGGGACCTGCAGACTGATAAGCTTTTGTATTAATCAGGAGACCACAGGATAAGGAAGAGGAGGGGCTGGGACAAAGAGTTCAATGTCAAGCCCGGCCCAGTAACATCCTATAAGGGACTGAGAATCAGAGGTCACCCCACCTCTGACAGAGCCAGAACTTCAACCCTTTCACCTCCCACTCAGCCACTCTCCAGCCAATGTCCGTCACCACCACCACCATCTCCAGGAAAGCTCTGGGCTTTCGATTACTTGCTCTGCAAGGCCAAGTTCTCTGAGTCTTGTTCTTGCCTGTGTAACCTCCTTTGTGGTCCAAGGTCATTTCAAATGTCACTCCTGATCTCCAGACTATCACCTCTGGGCTGATTTAATTGTTCCTGTATCTGTGTTTTAATAGTACTCTTATCTTATTATGGTGCTAATCTTATATTGTGATCTGGCTATATTTCTGGCTAGACTAAACTCAAATATTTTGAAATAGCCTAGGGAGAGAGGTATGAATCGTCTCTGTTTTGCAGATGAGAAAGCATGGTTTCAGGTTTCTAAGAGAAAAGTAACAGAGCATCCAGATGAGGGCCATGGTTACAGCCTACTTCTGTCATTTATCAGCTGAAGACCTAGAACAAGCTACTAATCCTATCTGTGCTTCAGTTTCCCTGACAGTAAAATGCAGAGGACAAGAAGTAGAAACTGCCAACTAGAGTGGGTGTGTAGATTAAAGGAGTTAATATTCATAAAATACCTCGACTAGTGTCTGCCACATGGTTGGTGCCCTGAAGTTGTTAAAAGAATGAAGTGATGACATTGCAATTCTATCAAAGTCTTCAGATGATAAAGTTCCTAGCCAAGGCTCTATTTTAACTTTGTAGGACTCCAAGTTTCCCTGAAAAGCAGTGGTTTTACTACAATAAAGGGAAGCTGGTTTGGAACAAAGACATGAATGAGGTAAGAGGAAGCACAATGTCTCAATCAAGACTTGGGTCCGGGTAATGGGTGTATTTCCCCTGACTCTGGGTTACAAGCTCAGGCAAGGACTTCATGGAAGACTGAGTGCTGGTCCCTGGCCAAGTCTCTTCCCAAGGCTCAAGTTCAGTTATGGGTTAGGCATTGGGGCTCCTGGAGTGACTTGTCATGGAGACTCTGGTTGTGCATTTGCAATTCTGCATCTAGTCCATAGAGGCATGGAAAGGGTTTCCTCATTGTCCACTGGTTTCTTGCATCTCGTGTTGCACTAACACAGGGTTAAGAATAAAGTTCCCATTTTCCAAAAAAGCATCATTTAACATTTTACCAACTACTCATAATTGCATAGTTAAAATCTATTATTATTATTACTATTCACGCCAACCTGGTTATGAATTGTGACTGATCTGGTAGGTAACAACAGTTAGCTGAGTGACAGAATTATGTAAGGTTTTTCAGTTTAGAGACAATGGGAAAAGAAGGTTTGTTGACTTGTTGAAAAGCTTCAGTAATTGCTCTTTGTGTCAAATATGAGCTCTGAACAACTTAGCGCACCTGCTAACTGGGAATGTTTGAAAGCAGACATTCTCAAACGTTGGGCATGAATCGAAATCATCCTAGGGACTTGTTAAAACACGGATTGCTGAACCCCATTCACGGAGTTTCCGATTCACTGTCTGGGGTGGAGCCATAAATCTTGATTTTTAATAAGTTCCCAGGTGATGCTGATACTGCTGGTTCAGGGACCACAATTCGAGAACTAGTGACTTAGAATAAGTGTCCCCTCTTTGGCAGCTGCTGACTCTCATGGAGTTGGAATGCAATATAATTAGGCTTGGTTTAAGTAGGCCACCTTAACAGCCAAATTCCCCAACCACTTTTTTAACACCTTACAGGTCAAGAGACTCAACGTTATTTCTGTTAGAAGGAACAAACTAAACCTCAGTGATGTAGGTTTTAAAGGAATATCAGTCAGTTAACTGTAGCATGCTTTTCAGTTTATGATGTCATGATGATTAAGCACATTAAGACTTCTTGGTGCTTGTCAGTATTTTTATGAAGTAATGGGGAAGTACATTCATCTGGGCTTTTCAGTCATTGGGTCAGTTCTTGAAATAGAGCGCTAGGAGGTGATGACCAGCAGGTGGCGCTCTGAGTCAGTTCATGGCGGCCTGAAGAGGGTGCAAGGAAAACACTAGAGTGCCTGCTTTAAATCCTCCAAGTAGGGTCCTCTTAACCACTTGTCATAAAATACCCTGAGACACACGTCTTGGAAAATCGAAGTGTCAAGCTCAGCATCTTTGCCACATTTCAAACTAGGTAATTACCTTCTCTCCCAAAGGGAATCTGTTTTATGTATTTGTGTCCTTTCTAGGTTACAGGTTTCCCAAAGGCAATGATCTTGCCTTCCGTTCATTCTGTGCAACGCTCAAGTGAAATGCAGGTTTTACAATAACAATTTAATTATTCTACATCCCTCTGAGCTACATGATGACCTGTTACATAATTGCTAGTAATATAGAAACGTGCCTGCCTGGTATAAACCCAAGCAATAAAGGCAAGTTTTTATTTGACCTAAAAGTAAATTGCTTATTTACTTCTCTGTGACAATATAAAAAGCTATTTTCCTGCCACCCCCAAATTGTGAGTCATTATCAAATAAACAACACTGCATTTTAGTCTGTTGCTTTTATTGTCTGCAGAATTTTTTTTAACTACACACAACAAATAGTTCGATATAATCTAAGATAATAAAATAGTTGAGCAACTTTTTGTTTTAGATTTACATTATTTGTATAGAAACAATCTGTGGAATGCCTCACCTCAAAAATGAAGGTGTCTAAAAACAGTGATTCACCAGCATTGCTTTAAATAATTGTTTGGTTAAAAGTTGCAGCTTCCATTCTCATCTGAAATCTGTCTCCATGCACTTTCCCTTGGGCCCAAAGCTTAAGGCCTTGGGAGGGTGGCCAAGAATAAAAGGATGACCACTCTCCTCTCTGTCCTTCTGGTGTGTGGAGGATGGTGACTGGGACGGGGCTGGTAGAAAAGCCAGGAAGGAAAGAAATCAATTGCACATCTTTAGTTTTCAAGGGTCAACATCCTAAGAAGTCCCTGCAGATGTGAAAGCCCTCAGCACCTCCTGCCACCCAGTGCGCCCTCACGAGCCATGTAGTTCCTACAGAGGGGGCCATAAGTTCTCCCTAAAGGCTATTGCTTCTGTCACATTTACATCTGGTCCCTTCCATATGTCACTAGGATGCTGCGTCTTGATGCCCAGTGAGAGTGTTCCTTCCCCTAAGAACTGCCTCACCCCACCCTCAAATCCCCCAAGTGCCTGTGAGTGAAGCCCCCCATGGAGACAGTGACTTCAGGGAAATGACTCCCCACTCCCTGGGGTGGGGGTGGGGATGGGAGTGGGGGTGGTACTTTGGCCTATATCATGCCGTTGATCTTAGTCCACTCATAGATGTCTTGTTCACACACAATGTCGGAGTTGATGAGGAGGTATCTGTCACCCACACAGAAATGCTTCTGACAGGCGGCACACTTGAAACATTCCAGGTGATACACTTTGTCTTTCACCCGCATGGTCATCTCATAGGCTCGGATCCGTTTGTCACAGGAGGCGCAGAGACCATCTTGGCCAAAAAGCCTGGAGAGAAAAGGAAGGAAAGCTAAGAAGACAGTGGCACCGGCGAGGCGGGGTAAGGGCTAATGCATGCATACAGCAGCTGGACTCTAAGATGTCAGGACGCAGGTGAGGTTTGGGCCCCGGGGAGAGCCTTTCTGAGAAGGGAGAAGGATTCTGGAGGAAGCGGGAGTCCATGTCTCTTGTGTTTGGTGTCAACTGTCCCTTCTCTGAGTTCTTTCCCTGCCCACAGCAATCACTCCATCCCTAGGTTGCCTTGGGCCCTCCTCTTTGGAACAGACCCTCAGCTTCAGTGAGGGTTAGGCATGTAGGGTGTGTACCTGGTGGAACATGTCAGAAGAGGAGCTCAGTCAACTCTGGAGGGCTTGTGGGGTCCTCTTTGAGAGGGAATTAACCAAGAGCGCAATACAATGGTCATCTTGCTGAGGGCCCAGATTCTATCATATTGAAGTCACTAATCCCACCTGTGGGAAGTGGTGCTGTGGGCTCCACCTTAAGCTACAAAGGTCCTTGGCACATGATGAAGTGCTGGGGCCCGGCTTCTGGGAGACACAGAGTTGGACAAAAGCCCAGGGTGCAGTTCTTCCTGCCTCAGAGATCTGGAGGACAAATGCATCTCTCCACATTGCGTGGAAGATATTTTTTCAAGGTCCTTGCTGCCTCATGGGCATGCATCTCTGGGGAAACTTCTCTTATGTGCTGACAAGACTCCTAAATTTCACCTGATCAGTTGCTTATCTCCAGTAATTATTCAGTGACCGGGGGTGGAGGGGACATACAAGGTGGGGACCAGAACCACCAAGGTGCTTAAAGTCTAGTCCTGGAACCAGTGTTATTGGTGTCACCTGAGAATTTTCAGAAATGCGAATTCTCAAACTGTCTAATTAAACCGCTCTGGGAGGCAGGCAGGAGACCCAGGAGTTTATGAGTTAATGCACGCTTATTTCCAGGTGATTGTGATGCAGGCTGAAGTTTGTGCAAGAGCAGAAAAGCACAAGTACTGGAAACAGAAGACTCGGATTCGGAGTCTAGGACAAGCCCTGAGTCCCTGAGTCACCCAGGTGATACCTGTTCCTCTGAGCTTGTGGAATGGCAGCTCGTAGCATCTAAGTCGCTCGGCTGTCAGAAACGGAGCATGCCAAGGCACAAACAGACCAGGGCGAAGCCAAAGCTGGCTCTGCTTTCACACAGCTCAGGCTCAGGCCCCAGCTCTACCAGTCTTGCTATAGGAAGGCGCACACACATGACCGCTGACTCTGTGAACAGGTCCTGTCCAGCTAAGGCCTTCAGGACTGTTTTAGGTGAATGTTTATTCTCACTGGACGTTCTCACTGACTTCAGAAAAGCAGAGAATTGGTGGGTACAGGGGAGAAATTGTAGGACATGAAGGCGGCTGATACATTCTGAAATATTTAGGCAAAATTAATGGAATCCAGAAGCTGTGGTCTGTGAGTAGAGAGCTTTTTCCTCGAGCAGGGGCCAACTAATTTCCCTGTGAATCCCACTCTCCATTTGAAGATCTCTGAGTGTTTTCAAAGCACCACCTGGGAGCAAACTCATTACTGGGGGAGAAGATTTTATCCCAAAGTAGCAGATGGTGGAGCTGCAGGGAAGCACCACATTGGAGGTCACAGAGTGGAAAGACAGTTCTGGCTTCCTGACTGTTCAGTAAGTTGAGTTTGGGCATGAGCAAGGAGAGATGGCTCACAAAATTGTGTGGGGAGCGAATTTACCTGCCTGGAGTGTGTGACCCTTCAGGAAGAAGAGCGCGGATTACCGGGAAGCTGGGGGAGACTTAACACACACCTGGCAGCAAATGGGGAGGAAGCAGAAAGGACAAACATTTGGAACACAAGTTCGGGTCCCAGCATCAGCTCAAACTAGCCAGATGCCCCAGGGCAAGTGACTTCTGCATCTTCAGCTATGGAGCCAGGGAGCCCTAAAGCCCTTTCCAGATCTGCTATTCTGAGATTCTATTCACAGTGAGAATAAACCAGAACCTGACTGACTAGTTGGAGGGCTCACCTCTGGCACCATGAGTGGATGCCTGAGGCTGGCGATTCCAGAAGCAGACCCTGAGGTGAGAATTTAAAGGTAAGCAAAGCTGTGATCTCAGGCAGAATCGCTGGGAGGGGAGCTCTAGCTTGATGGCAAGGCAGATCTGGGGTACAAGTCCAACTGGCTCTATCTCCAGGAAGGGGGGCAGGCTCAGTGCTCCTGGAAGTACCAGCCACTGGCCAAGGCCCTCAGGAGCCTGGGGGTGTGTGGCATTCTTGGAGGCTAACAAAGGCAGGTGCAGGCTGTTAAAGTAAAACCTTCCTAAGAGGGGCAGTTGGGGGAGGGGTGGCATGAGCTGTGCATAAGCATTGATGAAAATTGGTACAGAGGTCTGAGGGGCATCTAGACGGTCACAGGCACCAGCATCTACTGCCAGGGACCACGTGACAGAATGCAGTAGCCAGTACTGACATTCTGTATGGGGGTCTTGTGCTATTTGAGGCTCGGTCTGGCAAGGACTTGCCACAGGCCAGTCAGCCACTGGAAATCCTCAGGAGAAGAAGCTGTCCGAGGGGGTGGAAGGGCTGACTCCCATTTAAACAGAACCTGTTTAGCTACTCTTCAAACGTGCCTTTTTCCAAAACACAGCCAGCCAGATGTTAGAAACACAAGTAAACAAAAGCCCTGGGCGTCAGGACCACCTCTAAAGGAACAAATGATTTTTTTCCCTCTTTGGAGAGGTGTCACATCTTAAGCTTTCTCCTGCCCATTTTAATAACAATAATATAAATATTAAAAGATGACTGGAAACGCCTGCACTAACGCAGAGTTAATTAACATGTTGCCTAGGAATGTAGCAGGCAGAAGAATTATTTCATGTCACCAAGACACAAGTTAATTAACATTGGGTTCTCCCAGACTATTTTTCCTCTCCTTTTTAAAAATGGAAAAGATTAACAAGCCCAGGCAGCACTGGGTTTATTCTTGAATGTTATATAAAGCCATAGAGATAGGGAGAAGCCGGGCTCTTTTGACCTCACTCTATCTGCACTTCACTTAATAAGATTCAAATGATCTGACAGGGATGCAGGCGGAGAGCCCAATGGGAATCATTTACCCGTCTGCTTTCTGCACTGACTTGGCAAACTGGTAGCCAGCAAAATCATGTCTCTACGTCTCCCAGTTCTATTTTCTTAGTTCTATAACTAAGAACTCCCAGTTCACGATTATAATCATGATCATTGAAAACCATGTTTATTTTTCTGAACCACCAAATCTGCAAGGACTTAACAGGGAATTTGAGGGGGGGGGACTTATTCGTCAGCCTCTGAGTAAACAGATAAGGTTTCTTCACTAAAATCTCCCGCAAGTTTTCTTTTCTTTTTTAATGTTAAATGCTCTGAGGGCAGGTAAGGGAAGTAGAGCTGGCCTGGTCTGAACATTCCCACGGGTTGGGTGGTCCTGATGTTTTAGAGCTGCATGGCGCACAGACCCTCTGCCATAGGAAGATGGCAGGAAAACTGACAGCTACCCCCTTGAATAGACCTGACAGTAGAGAGCACAGAGTTATCTCCACAGCAGCTAATATGAAACTGGGATTCTAGAAGGCTCTAGGCAAAGGCACTCATTGCATGCTGGAAAATTCCCATGGCCAATATAAATAGTATGACCTGGGGTATCAGACATGTCCTTGGCTCCTGCCCCAATGGGAGCTGTAGAGTTCCTATTTTTCTTTCCCATTCATCCACCTCTTTGTTCATTATCATTTCACCAGGGTTAGTTACACAAGAAGCTGACATCTGATAACATGGGTCTGCTGGATCCAGCCCTCCTAAGGCTCACCTTCTCCTTGGACTCAGTCCTATTAGTCTCCCTACTTTACAGATGAAGAAATTGAGGTTCCTGAAGCCCGCACAACTTACTCGAGGTCAAAGAGCTAGAAACCAATGTGCCAGGCCTGAACTTGCCACTGACAGGTGAGCCCCAATTGGCTCCATAAAAGGCAAATGACAGAAACAGCCTGGAGAAAACATACTTCCTATTCTTAAACTTCTCATCACACTCTAGCGGCCAACCTCGATGTATCTCTGGGAGCATTAAGAACCTATCTTCAAACATACAAGTGGCAATACCCCCTATGTCTACTTCCCCAATGCTCTCCTTTGTTTGACACCGCAGAGCAAACTTGTATTCTGAATTCTGGGGTTTCTCTTTCTCTTGCCTTCAACATATTCGTCTTTTATCATAGAGGACTGTATTCCTGAGAACCTGTTCATCACATAGGAAGAAAAGTCAGTGTGGCTTCTGTGTGGGAAACTGAGGCTAGGCCTCGGCAGCCTGACCACCTTGGGCAGGTAGCAGGGCTGGGTGCAACAGACCTGTGCACCCCACCCCCACTGCCCAGGAGCTGAGGGGCAGATACCTGAGATAGTCTCTCCGGCAGAGCTTCCGGCCCAACTTGTAGTAGAGGCGCCGGCCCACCTCGCCCAGCCGGCACCCGCAGAGGTCACAGCTGAGACAGTCCTCATGCCAGTACTGGTCAATGGCCTTCAGGAAGTAGCGGTCCCCAATGTTCTGCTGGCAGCCACCGCATGTCAGCAAGGATGGGGGGATCTGTAGCACCTCATCTACTGGTTCCCTGCAAAGAAGACCAACTGTTACAGACAACCTCATCTGGTGAGACAAGAAATGGGGGGTTGGGCTCTCCCTGGTGGCACAACGGGTTAAAACACGGTATTATGAGGCTCTCCAAAGCCACTGCAGTATGAGTTCAATCCCTGGCCGTGATCCACATGGCACGGCAGACCTCTCCAGACCCGCCTGCTGCTCCCTTCAGCAGTGTACTTTGTCAGTCTGCCTGTTCTGCTCCCCACTCTGTCTCTGGTGAATCCTCTCACCCACCACACCTCTGGCCCGTACCCCAGTTCTGTATGCACAAATAAATATTAAAAAAAAAAAGAAATGGGGGGTCAAGAATCACTCTAGATCAAACAGGAAACTTCACTGCTGCCTTGTGCAGACATAGGAGAAAGGACAGCACCGCCCGCAGAGAGGCCCAGCCAGTCTTGGGGTAGGGTGGACGGGTGCCGGGCCTCCATCCTGGAACCAGTCAACTGTGGCTGGTGCTGCTCCCACCCCCAGTCCAGCCAGCACCATTCTGGTTTCCCTTCGATTTCCCACTCATCCTACTCACCTTCTCTATCTTCACGTACCCCTCCCCCCCCCCAAACCCAGGGCCTAAAGGCCAAACCCCAGAGGGCTGCCGGCTGCCAGGACACAAACTACCCCCGGATTAAAAGCATACAAATCCCCAAGCCTTCCTATCTGTATTCCTTCCCAACAACACAAAGGCAGAGGTGTGGAAGAAAGAACAATGTGATGAAAAATCATTTTAGGTTGTTTTTTTCAATCCAAAATAAAGGTTCTACCCAGCTATAATAGGATTTATCACTATTTTGTTTTTTCTTTACAGAAATCCCACATCCCATCCTTCTCACCAAATGAATCCTTGGAGGAAAATCTGAGGCTGAGAGGATTATTAAACTTAGAAAGGACACCAAATTTTTATAATGGCAAAGCTGATTTGGATAAAAGTTGACTTAGGGAAGAAAATGGGGGGCGGGGGGCAATGATTATCTTCAAGGAGGAGAAGGCATTGAAATAGCCTCTGAACATTTTAAATAAGAAACTTTATTTGCCAAAAGAAAACCAAGGGGTGGAAGGAAATGACACTAAGAAACCCTAATACCTGTTGGTGTGTCAAACAAGGGCTCCTTTGAACCTCATGCAGACACATATCTATTTTTTTTAAATCTACTATGATTTAAAAATGGACATGGTCCCAACTGTGAAATCCCCAAAGGGTGTTGCTCCATCAGGACGCTGAGGGCGTAAACCTAGGTCTCCCATGTCGAGCTGACATTCACTTTCCAGGTGACCTCATGCCTGTGCCCACACGGCTCAGCACCTGTGCGTTTAGGGGTGATGAGGCTCAACTAATCAGTGTTTGCAACACACTCTGACAGCTTTAGGTGACTGCAGAGCGCTTACCTCCCTATAGACACTGAGGGATGCTGTGCCCAAGCCCACGCCCCAGACAGAGAACAGGAGCCTTCTGGAGCTTATCTCTTTTCAAACAAGGAAACATAAAAGCCAAACTGGTTTGCTCTTTAAAAATCAAGATGTTAAACAGTTTCAAGAATTCACTGAAGCCTGACTTGCTTTTCTTTGTTTGCACAGGTTATCCAGGAGGATTTTCTCCCTTCTGAGAAGTAGCTGAGATCCCTAGTATTTGCACGTGCATCACCTCAGAATTGCATCTTTTCTCTTTCCACAGCCTCTGGTCTCACTCCGGGCTTCTGAAAACACTCCCAGAACCTCAACCACGCTGGGTGCCCCAATGCTGATGCTGCCAACCAACTGTGAAAGAGGAGAATTTGCACTTAGCTGGTGCAAAACTGCCTGGAATTGAAATGAACTGCTCTTGCTACTCACAGGGAGGCAGTAGGGGCCACCGATTGTACAGCAGAGGAAACCTCTGTGTTCATGAATTCTGGCTGTCTTCCTGTCAAAATGGTTCATCTGCATGTGCCTAGGCGAGCTTCTGGCTGTCATTTGGTGCTGCTGAACACCATGACCCTTTGAGTAAGTACACAATGATGCATCTAGCTGGATAGTGGTCTGCAGCAAAAGTGTTACGCAAAAGAGCAATTGTGATGGCCTGAGATGAGATAGGAATGGACAGGATAAGATATTGGCTCTATCTATCTTCCTATAATTAATGATAAATCACATTATCTTGGGAGGATGTTCCAAGCTAATAACTGAAGGGATTCACCTTCAAGTTAGGATTTTATATTTTCCTAGGGCCTATCTGATGATCACACCTGAGGATCACTTCAGTCTGGGTTTCTGGAATAATTTCTTGACAATTTCCAAGAAAGTGGGTGGGGGAAACTGTGCCAGTAATTTCTCAACTGGCTGCTCCATTTTCATCAGAGCCTGTCCTCACTGGGTAGGGGGTGAAGCGGCCACAGCAGGTGAACTTCAGTGCCTGCCTGCTATGTTGTGAAGCTGGATGTTTCAATTTTCTAATCTCTGAAAAATCACAAATTTTGAAAGGAGCAAACTTCCTTCAGGGAACTGAAGCCTACAGATTTATCTTCTAATAGAAGGTTTTAGTAACTAACTTTTGCTTATAGAAAAGGCAGAGGGCACTAGTTTACCCACATCACTCTTATTGTATTCCTACGGGCTTGCCCAGGCTTTGAAACTCAGGGCTGAGTGGTAATGCAAGATTTGTAAAAATTCAACCCCTTGTTTGCACAGACATATTCTTTTAAAAAGGAATGTTACTTTTCTCCTGAGAATTTGTTTAAGGAAGCTGGATTTTTTGTTCTTACAAACCTAGCTCCTTATAGACCTGCTGTCTTAACCTTCAAGACTGAACGGTGATGTTTATATTCTCATTGGATCATGGCACTTCCTGTGTTTTATGAGAACATGCTGAGCTTTTACGCTGGTGACTGAGGGTAAAACCCAGGTATATAAACACCACAGATGGGGGTGGGGGAGGGCGACTTCAATCAAGAAAACACAATTCTTTTAAAGCAAAAGAAAGAAAGAAAACAAAACAAATGCCTCTTAAAAGAACAAATGGACAAGTCATTAACCAGCTCCTTTGGTCTGAGTAACAAATCCCTTCAAAGGATTAGAGGGGGACTTCAAAGGAATAAAAATTCTCAAAACCAGACAGCTAATGAATCTTAAAAGGGCATTTGTGTTGATGGGAAAATGATTATCTTTAACATCCCTTTCTCCCCACGTTAACACTGAGCAAATGGGCTAGGCACAGGCTGGGGAGTAGGAACATTCCGGCAAAGGCTCTTCAGAACACTCGGTTGCCTGATCCCAGATGCTTTTGAGAATATGAAAAATGCTATGAAACTCTGCTACCCAGAAAAACTCACCTGTAAGCAAAAGGGGGCACTAACTTTCGAGGTTCACCGCCCCCGCGAGGGACTTCGAGGGGAGGGGTTACAGATGGAACAACTCCACGTTCTGCCCTAAAGTCTCTCAAGGTCTTAGAGCTGCTAGGTGGACGCTCGGCTCCCTCACCCGCCACCCCTGGCGCGGCAGGCGGCCTCCCGCCCTGCAGACCCGGAGTGGGGCCGTTCGGTAATCGGGAGGCCTCCACTTGGCATGCCCCCCTTTTCCCAGGATCAAGTGGACAAAGAGAGCAAGAAGGGAGGAGCTGGGGCGGGGGGCGCAGAGTCAAGCCCTGAACGCTCTTGGGACTGTACCTGCGCGCCTCCGAGCTCCCCCTGTGCCTCCTCGCGTGTAAACTTTCCGGCCCGCGGTGGCTTTGGGGAACGTCCCGAGTGGTCGGGAGGGGCCCGCAGAAGCGCGGAACCGACCCCCACTGCCAGCCGCCCGCAGCCCGCTCCTCTCCCGGCGCCCCAGACGCCCTCCGAGAGGGAGGGGGAGCCCGCGCCAGGCGCAGAGGGCCGACGCCGCCCGCGCGCACCTGGAGCCTCGGGGTCGGCCGCCGGCTCCCCCCGCCGCCCCGCGCGCGAGGCCGTGGGCAGCTTGGGTGACGGGGCAGAGTCGCCACACTTACTCAGACGGGTCCAGGCTCTTCCTCTCGATGGCCGAGGACATTGGGGAGGGAGGTGGCGTGCCAGGCAGCGGGGGCGCTCCCTTTGTGGCGCGGGGCTGGCCGGCTGCGGGGGCTCGGACCCCCTCGGGTGCTCGGGCGCCGCCGCCGCTCCTGCGCCTCCTCTTGCTCCGGCGCTCGGGATGCGAGCTCGGCCCTCCGCGCTCAAGGACAGTCGCCGCGCTCCCTTCAAACGCCAAAGAGAGAGAGCGAA